ATCATAAATCTGACTTGACCGTCGGAGTGCTTGCGTCAGCGCCTACCCCATCAGGGAGAGGCCTCGAGTGACTGACGGCGTGCTACGTGTGCAGGAGGATTTAGCTTGAAGACATATCCTGTTGGCCACGTGTCCGAACCATTTTTCGAGGTCAACATATTTAATTAATTATTTCATAAATAAAATATAATTAATATCTCATTTTTTAAGTTTCAAACTTTGTTTCTTAATTTTGAAATGAACCAAACCTAATTTCTTACATATGAAATTTTCCCTTAGTGGAATAGGATTGGGCTCTATATACGATCAACCCATGTTTAAGGAATATGAAATTATGTAGAACTAGATTTTTAAGTTATCATTTCAACAATCAAATTTAAAATTTGTTTATACAAAAACAGATGAGAATTTAATATTATTAAAAATATTATAAAATTAAATTAATATATCCACCCCCACCCTCCCTATATCGAAATTCAATCCATTCTCTCTACCTCCGTTCTCTCTCTCGCACTCCATTATCCATCGACGCCATTTGACGATGATGCAGTCGACGAGAGTCGTTGCTGCAACCACGATGATGGTGTCGTCGCGCGTTGAACGGTGATGTCGCTTAACGTCGTCGTTGTAGTGGCGATAGCGTACAAAGCGGTCAAAACTGCTGTAGCAATGGCGATGCAATTGTTAATGTGCTCAAACGCATCAATCATCGTCGATTTTTAGGCGATATAGTTTTTGGGCGTTGGTGCCGATTTAGGTATGTGATAGTTTGTCGTCGCTGCGATCATCGTCAATCGGATCTAGTTTTGCAATAGATGGTTGTCTAGTTTTTGGGCGGCGATGGTGGTGCTAATTTTGGGCGACGATGGTAGTGGGCGTGAGCGCCATTGCCGGTGTTGGAAAATGAGGGAAAAATCTGGAGTAATGGGTGTCGGAGTTTTTGGGGGTAGTTGGTGGTGTGGTGAGGTGGCGGTGGTAATGTTGGTGGTGGTTGTGGCGATGACTGATTATTTTGGATCTGATTTTTTTGGTGGTGTTCAGGTGGTGATGGTTGTGATGTTGATTGTGGTGGTGAGGTGGTGGTGATTTTGGTGGTGGCGATGGTGGTCGTGCGATGGTTGTAGGTGGGATGGCGTGCAATGTGGGTGTTTGTGATTAATTATTTGATTGATTGTGACAAGTAAATAATATGTGACTTGAAAATGTGAGTTGTGACTTACATAATTTGTGATTTGTGACCAATAAATAAATTGTGATTTATAAATGTTTTTGATTTTTGTGACAGATGAATAAATTGTGACCTATAAATTTTTTGATTTGTGATCGAAAAATAATTTGTGATCAATTAATTTAATAACTTGTGATCAAATAATATAGAATCGTGACCTTAATATTTTTAATTAATTATTTCATAAATAAAATAAAATTATTTTTGATTTTTGAATTTTTAAACCCTATTTCTGAATTTTGAAATTGGTTATACTTAATCTTTTAGATATGAAATTTTCCCTAAATTGCGTAGAACCAAATTTTTTAAGTTATTATTTCAAAAATCAGATTTAAAGTTTATCTATACAAAAATCAGATAAGAATTTAATATGATGAATGGTATTATAAAATTAAATTAATATATCCACCCCTTCACCCCGACCCTCCTCACACCAAAATTCAATCCATTCTCTCTCTCTCTCTCTCTCTCTCTCTCTCCCTCCATTATCCACTGATAGTCGTGATGATGATGCAGTCGCACGAGAGTCGTCGTTGCTCGCTAAGCGACGATGTCGCTTGAAGCTATTGCTATAGTGGTGATGATGCTTGAAGCGGTCATCGTCGATTTTTGGGCAATCTAGTTTTTGGGCGTTGGTGCCAATTTAGGGCTGTGATGGTTTGCGGTCATCGTCGATCGGATCTAGTTTTGCGATCAATGGTTGTCTAGTTTTTGGGTGGAGATGGTGGTGCCATTTTTGGGCGACGATGGTTGTGAGCGTGATCACCATTGTTGGTGGTGGAAAATGAGGGAAAAATCTGGATAATGGGTGTCAGAGTTTTGGGTAGTTGGTGGTTGTTTGCCATGATGGCAGTGCTTGTAGTTGGTGGTGGCGGTGGCGGTGGCATTGTGGTAAGGTGGCAGTGATGATGTTGGTGGTGGTCGTGGAGGTGATTGATTATTTTGGATCTAATTTTTTGGTGGTGTTTGGGTGGTGATAGTTGTGATGTTGATTGCGGTGGTAAGGTGGTGGTGATTTTGGTGGCAACGATGGTGGTCAGGTGATGGTGCAGTGGTTGAAGATGGGATGGTGTGGGATGTGGGTGTTTGTGACAAGTAAATAATATGTAATCGATAATTTGTGACATGTATAATATTGACCTAAAAATTTGAGTTTTGACTTACAAAAATTGTGATTTGTGGTCAATAAATAAAGAGTCATGCTATGTGTATATAGGTGGGTACATAGGGGTTGACATAATGTGAGTCGGGTGGAGCTCATGCTACAGTATAGTGGGCCCCACTCCACTTACATTATATCAACCCCTATGTTAATGTACACATCTATATATACATAGATTAATCCATAAATAAATTATGACTTATAAATCTTTTGATTTGTGGCAGATGAATAAATTTTGACCTATAACATTTTTGCTTTGTGATCGAAAAATAATTTGTGACCAAATAGTATAAAATTATGACCTTAATATATTTAATTAATAAAATTTATTTTTAATTAATTATTTTATAAATAGAATTCAATTAATATATGTTTTTTGAAGTTTCAAACATTTTTTCTTAGTTTTGAAATTGGCTATACTTAATTTCTTAGATATGAAATTTTCCCTTTTAAGAAATTATGATTAGAACCCATTTGAGAGTGCTTTTGTTTTTGCTTATGTTTGTAATTGAAGAGTTTTTTGAGAAAGTTATCTTAAACCAACTTCCTCTAAAAGCTATTTTAGACAAGAAAAATACTTTAAGTACAAAAGTAACTTCTTAATCTTAAAAATACTTATTGATATTTCAAAAGCCAGCCAAACGAATCATTGCAGCTTGTTTGAGAGTAAATTACAATCAATTTAAATTGTAAATATATAAAAATGAGTAGTATACAAGTAATTAGTCAATGTAATCATACAAAATGTGTAGATAAAAAGTAAAATTGATCATAAATATTTATAATAAACACCTTCCGAACAGGTGCGATTTGAGAGGCGGAACACTATTTAAATTTTAAACTCCGCTAGACAAAATAATGGAAAAAATTAATCGACTTTTTATTGTAATTTTGTTTAGTATTTTCGAGTTAAAGCTATGAAATTGGCTTTTATTTTATGGATATTAAGCAAAAAGACGCAGTCACAAATTTGATGTCACAAAGGGCGTGAAATGCACTATAAAGGGATTACTGATGAATCTAGATGGCATTAAGCCCCTGTTTCGTGGCATTAGTAGATTTTGATAAAAGTTCATGGAACGTAGATAAAAAATTATGGATCCCATAAAATGTGTTTTAAATTAATTGTTGATTTTGACTTATATTAAAATTTAGATTTTAATTTTTACCAAACATGGGCTAAATGACATTATACTCTTGTTTGATCCCAAGTTTTTAAAAACTCATTTTCAACCACACAATTTATAAAATCCACATTTTTATCAACTATTCAATCATATATTTCATTAATTTTAATCAAAATCTAGAAAAAAAATTGATTTTTAACCAAACCAAACGAGGGATAAACGAGAAGTATAACCACATTATTCTATCTTTAATTAAGTATATCATATAGTGTCACATAGACCGGTATTATAGCATTATAAGTTCTAAATAACATTATTATTTTCCAAATCATCAATCCCGAGCCAATATTTAAGAGATTGTTTCCTTGCTCTAGTGGTTTATAACACTCTGTTCAACGTACTATGTTAGCGGGAAATATCAAAATCCCGCACCCAAACATGGTGAAGGCTCAAAAAGAGGCACAACAGCCACATAATGGTGGCGGCGGCGGCGGCGGCCATTTCTTCGTCATTTCCACCACCACGGCCAACTGCTGAATTGGGGCCCTTGCATCATCATCATCCTGAACTGGATTCACATATCAAAAAACATAAAGATCACATAAAATTACTCAACGTTGTTTATCTATTAATTCTAGTGTAACCTGCAATGCATGGAAGAAGCTCCGTCATATACAGGCCTACAATTTGCTTGGTAAAAACTAAAATCTTTCTATTGTCTATTGATCCCATTAATTGGCTGTACCTAGAGAGGAATGCAAATGCAAAATATAGTAACTTTACACAATCATTTTCTTCATTGATCCTCAACTTCTGTTCTTTTCCGGAAAAAAGGGCGAAGTTAAGCCTATGGATATAGAAAAGTAATCGTAACAAAATATAAGCAATCAGTTGAAATTCAAAATCCTACTCCTCCATGAAAATCGTCCACTTTTGCGCTGGTGCGTTGGGGTGCGTTGTTTAGCCTGTTTATAACACATAAGAAATGTTAAAAAGGCTTCTTTAATGGAGAATATGAACCTGATTCTTGAATACAAAATGAATAGCCTACCTTTTCCCTTCTGCAAGGTCTGCTTCTATTCCAACACGAAAGCTGACTGCAACAGCCAAGTCCCGAGCTGGATTCATATCCCCTGCAAAGGGGAGGGGGGGGGGGGGTTGCCTTCAATCAATTTTTACTGCTATATTTACTAGAAATTCATGGTGTAATTTTACACGTTAAGAACCAGGATGAAGAATTGGTATTCTCGGGAATGTCAAAACTTCAATTTTTCCATCCAAGAATTCACGAAGTGTTCCATAATATTTTCAAATTCAGTAATTAAAAATAACCAATTATAAAATACGGAGTAAATCAAAGCCAACCATGTTTGGAGTAAAGCAGAGTTAAAATTAATTAACTTGTGTAAATATTTAAATTGAGAGTAGGATTACTAACATGTTATCTCTGCTGAAAGTCGGCGCAAAGCTGCTATTGTGCAGCAAGCTTGGAGAGATTGGGTAGGGACTGATCCTCTTAACAACATCGTTCATTTGGGATTCAGTTCCTTCATTAATCTTTAAAGCTTTGATTTCACGATTTAACTTGTCTTCCCAATGCTGCAAGGGCAAGTCTTTGGAAGTTGATGAATCCATGTTATTTTGATGACATGAGACATCCTGGGGCAGGATTTGATTCCTTTCGGGTTTCAAATGATTCATTGATGCATGAGCACCTTTCTCCATGGCCTGCAACCGTGCAGTTTCCAATCTCTGCTCGCGGATAATGGATTCAATTCTCTGCACCTGATCATTCCCAGTTCCAAACTCAGAGAGTTCCATTTGATGTCCTTCGGACTTGTTAAAGCTTCCCCTTAATACCTTTGATGGCTGCTGACGTGTATCAAGGTTCGAATTGGCTCCTACTGCACTTGACCAGATTGAATTGTTCTCCCGCTTCATGGAAATGATAGGGTCCATCTGCTTCTGACAGAAAGAATCGGGTAACAGAATAATTTTAACTCCCACATTGCTTCGTAGAACAATTTCAAACGAGTTCGTGATACTACTAAGATACCCTTCTGCTCTGGTTTTAATATTACCATCTGCAAATGCAATATAAGTAACAAAACCACCTGCATACAGAAGCTGTAAGGCTCGAGAATACCAAACAAACCAACACAATATGCTAATATTATTCCAGTGCAATACACAAAGTGATTCAGTAATTAAACACGGCATGAGTCGGATCAAATCATTTATATGCTGGTTAATATGACTCTCAGTCAGCCATGATTTCCATGATTCGTCCAAAGTAAACAACTGCAAATATAAGTTAGTCATTCCAAGCACCAGTTACGCATCTGAATTCTCATTCTCTAATTCCAATCCCATGATATGATTGCAAAGCATGTGAGCCACTGAAAGATAAATATATAATAAAAGGATTGACATAAACAACTAAAAGCAAACAAGGAAGTATGGTTTAATTTCTGAATTCTATCCTGATTTTCTATAAAAAATCAGCTTACCTTGAACTTCAGATATCGACACGAGCTTTCCATAAGTATGAAGCAGGTTCCTTAAAGTTCTTGAATGGCACTTCTCAATGCATTGCACCCAAATATTAATCAACGTGTTTGAGTTCATGTAACGTGATTTAATTTTCCCACTCATGAAGTCATTATGTCTGATGGCCAACGCGTCATCATTGATTGATTGGCTGTGATCGGGATTGACATTGGCAGCATCAGATCTCTGTTTCTGGGCAGTAACTTCTCTGAATGTATGTATGTGATGCTCCTCATTTGTCTTGAAGCTCTGTCTTTGACTACTTCTTGGCTGAGTTTGATCTGGTGAAGGGACAGAACCTAACTGTAAAAGGGTTGCCGTGAACCATGTTGACTGCTCACTAGAAACTCTCAGATGTTTTTCTGCCTCGGAAAGAAGCATCAGTGCATGCTTCAACTTACCTAATTCTCTTTCAGACACTGAAAAATAGTTCCACGACCATGAAAATTTAATAACTCGCAGACAGGGTAAACCATGTGAATAAATTTTAGACAGACGAGGAAAATTTAGATACAATAAAGCAGGACACAACAGAATATTCTGCTGAAACCTATTTTCAGTTCGATTGAAGGGCAACAGACTACACATATTGGATTGTTTATACAAGGAGACAGAAGTTGCCAGTAGATCTAGCAACCAACAGAATAGTTTAGGGATTTATAATCTAGAATATATAATGATTAGAATTAGCGAATCGCCAAATATACAATTCCCAAAAATTTCTCACATACAATCCAATTTTTCTTCAAACAAGACGAATTGAACCTTCCATTCAAGAAAGAGAGAATCAATCAGACCTAGATGGATAAATGATTTGTAGCATTGTTAATCAAGACATTTTTCGTGGGTGGCAGGCAGAAGTAAATAATAATAAATTATGGAAGAAGTAAGACATAATGAATATGACATGCCTGAGGCGATCTCCAAACATGTAGATCCAACAAGATAACGGGAGATCACATTAATCTCTGGGGAACCAATTGAATGCATGAAGATGAAGGATAAACATATTGAATGGACAAGTAGAAAATCCATAACATCTCGAATCGCTTCTTTATCCGAAAACCAAGTATCACCCTATTAATGGAGTGTCTGTGTTACCATTATCTATCACACCCCTTTAGCCTAGCTCTGCTCCAGAAACTTACTGTGGAATAAACCACATGATAAGAACTTTGCAGTGAAAAACAATGAGGCCTACCAACAACCAACTTGTTGCATAGTATAAGATGAACAGTTTAAACCTTCGAGCTTCATCACTAACTTTTCACTAAGACACTTTCTAATGTGATTGACATCATCTTACTACTGGAGATTCAGAGATTAACAGAAATAATTGATCTGGGATAATCTAGTCCCATTTTATCTGACTTATGGGGAAATTCAGAGCGGTCTTGTTAATACGTAAAAGAATTTTTTAACTGTTCTTTCCTATAATTATAACAGTTCCCTCAGCCAAGAAAGTTTGTTCACATTAAATGCACATCATAACTGAGTTGCTAAACCATTAGAGTATTAGGCCAAGAAGAACGTCCATTTTCCTGGCCATATGTAGCAGAATTCTGATTTCATGACCAAGATGTGGCAAGATTTATCAGATCCATGTAAGGTAAGGCAACGGAACCTGTCATAATATGTTTTGTACTTTATAGATCTCTTGGATTATTTCCTCATTCAATCATCGTGCAGTCGTGCAAAATAGCAGCCAAGTTTTGACTGTTACATTATTAAATATACACAACTCCGTCATGACAACTTATCTTTGTTTATGCTAATCTTCGAATTACTCGTCCAAACACTTTCTAGGTAAAGGAGTACAGGCATGTCAGTTGGGAGCACACGATGGGTCTAGATCATGCGAATTATCTCGGTAAAGATGTGTACTGCAATAATTGTGTCATCTGCCAAAAACCTTTTGGTGCCAATGAGGAGGAGAGACACGAGGCTCGGATGAATTTTTGAATCAGCGATGCGCACAAAAACATAATTTTGGAATAAGATATTATAGAATAAGCTTAAGCAAAAACATTCAGCCAACAAAATCAATCACAACAGCATCAAATGAAATATACCACAAAAGGTCTAACCAAGGGAAAGTCAATAAACTTTAAATATATCATAATGTGTCATGATGAAAAGGATTCATTTTAGCTGCAATCAAAGATGGTCACTTCTATTTGAATTCATTGAATCCTACTCATGCTCTAAATAAGAGTTTTAAAATTTAATCATCTCTCTTCAAACCCCAAAGAGAAAAGACAAAGAACAGACACCTGCCTTTTTTTCTTCGCAAGAAATTAACAAAGCACCAGCTTATCTTTGTAAGTTTTCAATTTATCTTTATACTTGGTAATACTTCCATACTGCATATTTTCACTAATGTCCACATGTTGATTTGTCGGGATGAGCTATCTAGGGAAACTTGAACGCAGATCTATTTACCATCATAAAACTCAAAATGGAACCTCCAGAAAGAATGAGTAGAGTGGCACTTACAACTGCTTCCACCAAAGAATGAATTATTGAGCTTGGCATCAATGTTCGGGTAAGTTCCGGCAATAATATCTACAATAAGGGCTGCCAATTGAGACATTAGAACTATTGGATCAACCCCTGAATCCATCAATTCTCTGGCTTGTATCACTGTCTCTGTGCTGTTTGATGACATGGCCAACTCCAGTAGGACCAGTAGTTTCTCATCAGAAACAACGCCAATCTGCAGAGAACCAAGGATGTTTGTTCAATAAATCAGATTTTTGTTAAAGCAACTGAGTAGATATATTTTTCCTGATATGTGCAGTCTCAGCGGTCCTTTAGTCAGATTAAAAAGTGTATGAAATGCAAACAATTATTAAAACTTATCTGCTAACATTTTGGCAACATGATAATTTTCGTTAAACATGTTAATATTAAAAAATCTCATAAGATTTTATAGGCCTACAGATAGAACAGTACAACCACTACAATGAGGCAAGATTAGTAAAGTGAAGATGTAGATTCAAACACAATGATATAAATGAAAGAGGTAATTTTAAACTCACAAGTTCATTTACCAAGGAAGTAGTGACTCTTTTTCCCAACAAACTTAACTGGTCTAACATTGTTTCTGCATCTCGCAGCGAACCATCTGCATTCGAAGCAATCAAATCTAATGCATTATCATCAACATCTAAGTTCTCATCAGTGGCAATCTTCCTCAATCGGGTAATAATGTCACTGCNNNCTCAATCGGGTAATAATGTCACTGCCGCCAATCTTGTTGAAGAGGTGCATCTGACACCTGGAAAATATACTATGGGGAATATTGTCACAATCAGTTGTAACGAGTATGAATACGACATGTGGCAATGGTTTCTCAAGAAATCTAAGAAATTTCAGCCATGTCTTTGAGGGCAGTAAGTGACACTTGTCAATGATAAAAACCTTATACTGCAAAATGGGTGATGAGGAAACCCGTGATAGATTTCTAAAGAGATTTTTGACTCTATCAATTCCCTTTTTATTAGATACATCAACTTCTTTGAGATCCTTGCTCTTGCCAGATATGAAATCAGCACACTCCCTACAGACACCACAGGGCTTAGTCTCTTCAGTAGCAAGGCAATTCAAAGCAGCAGCAAAAATTCTTGCAGTCGATGTTTTTCCAGTCCCACGGTGACCTTGGAAAAGATAAACAGGGGCAACCATCCCTTTTGAAATCACACTCATGAGTGACTGAACAACCATATTCTGCCCAAGCAATTCCTCGAAAAACATTGGCCTATATTTCTGGCTAAGGCTTTTGATATTTTCCGGAGAACTTTCCTCAAGCATTTCCTCGTGCAGAGCTACTTGAGCTAACCCTTCTTGACTCCTACAGCTTGTAGACCACCTCCTTCCATCCAACCGACTCATCGCCTCCAAATCAAGCTCTCCAAAATTTGTGGTAAGCTCATTATTACTATTCTCACTTCCCATAGATGATTCTCCTAGGCTGTCAGCGCTAAGCAAAGGAGCAAGACCTTTAGCTGCAGACCTTGAACTCGGTCTCCTCTTATTGGACCCCAAAGATGACCGATGATGTCTTCTTTGAGACAAGGATTGACTTCCGCAAAAAATGCTGCTTCCTTTCCTCCTTAAAGTATCCGAAATAGATGGCGAACCACTGCCATTCCCTCTAAATTTTGGCATCGACGTTTTTGACCAATAACAAGGAATCCCACAGCCCGGTCTCCCTGACAAATCCAAGTGGTCATCCACCTCATCATCTGCATCATTGAAAGATGCCGTGGTAGCATCCCAAGACTCAATGGTACTCGGATTCCTAACACCATATTTATTAAATGCAGGTGTAGTGTGTGAAATAGAATCATCATCTTTTCTTCGACTCTTCAACAACTTGGATGGTGAATGAACCCAATCCTTATTCTGAAGCCTAACAAGCAATGGTGATATGGCAGACTTCCTCCTTAAACCATCAGAATTATGAAAATCTTCAGTATCATCAGACTGATCCACCAAACTTGCCAAATGATCCCTTCCTAAACCCAAATCAGACATACCCTCCACTACATATTTTGCATCTCTACTCGATAAGTTTTGTTTCTTCAAGTTTTCATTATGATGCCTTAAACTGGCTCTAGAATAATTACTTCTATTCGATTTCTTATTTTTGCGCCTAATAGAAGGCCTGGAATTGGTACCTTTGCACTTAAAAGTCGCGGGAGCATATCTGTCACTCAAACAATTGTCGCTCTTGGAATCATTTGCACCGCCATTATGCGCATCAATCGAGCTATCAACATCCATACTCTCCTCCTCCGCTGTCGAAGATGACCTGCCATCCTTAGCATTCTCAACATCATCCTCACCAATCTGCCTACTTCTTTCGCTTTCAGATTTTTGAATCCTCCAATTATACAGAAATACTTTTCTCTCTTTTTTTACGACATTCACATTGCCATTATTGTTGGCACTACTGCTATCAATACAATTATTACCATTTTCAACTTGCAGAGGGAGTTGAAACAGTTGTTGAGAGGATGAACGAATGACATTGTCATCAATTGAGTGGCGGCCGCCATTGTTGTGATGGTGAAAATGGTGGTTCTTGGCAAGGGATCTCGCTGAATTATGTGGGGACCGCCATGAGGAGGTGGTCCCGGGGTCCCTTAACACGCGGGCCGCCTTCCGAATTTGCGTCAGTTCTTTCTTCAAATGCAGGGTTCTAGGATCAATTGCACCACCGCCACCATTCACCGTTCCGCCTGCGCCGCGCATTTCTAACAACAAAAATCTTATAGCACCTCACTGGGTCAGACAAAACCCACCTCAGCAACAAAACAGGAATTCGACCCAATTTAGTCCCACGGTGGCCAAAACTTGTCTGTGTGGAAAAATGAAGATTGGGTAATGTTGAAGAAATGGTGAGTATACTGTAAGATCTGTAAGATTTTTTTCCTCAATCAAACTTATTTCAACGTTCTTAAATACGCTGGGTGAAAGTAAGAATGTACAGCTAATAATAATATACTGTAACTAATAGTATTGACAACAGGGTTCCTCTTTCAAGAATCATGAAGGAAATTCTTTCCATTTTTATATGAAGGAAAATTGGGAGAAGGGAGTGCAAAAAGATTCCTTTTTTTCCGCTAAAATCGAAGAAATGAAGTAAAATGGATGGAAGAGTGAAAATCCGGCTATGGAAGAAATGGTTTTGAGAGTCCCAAGATTCTCTTTTAATGAGTGGGCATTTGTCTGAGATTTACTTCTTATTTCGTCTCATTGTCTACTCTTTCTTACACGTTTTGTTATTACAGCAAATCCATGCAAGCACTGAATTGCTGGTACTATAAGGTGAGATTTTTTCAAATTTGTTTTTTAATTTTTTCACTGCTACCTTTTCATTTAGGTTTTCGATTCCAATAAAAATAAATAAATAAATAA